TGTTGGTGGGAGTGCAAACTGGTCCAACCACTATGGAGAGCTGTGTGGAGATTTCTGGACCTACTAAACATAGAGCTTCCATATGATCCAGCAATTCCACTCCTAGGCATTCTGTAATATTCTGCCTCGTGCTGCAATTTAACCTTTGACGTAGCTATCCACCTTTTATGTAGAATTACTTTACACAATTTTAAAATAAAGCAAGAAGGCATTTGAAACTTAAATATATATTATATAATTCAATATATATTAAATTAATATGTGTGTATACACATACACACACATATAGATACTTATTTTGGAATGTGAAGCTCACAACTGCTTGTCAACTTTCGAAGGTCTTGTGTTTACAAATATTTTCTGTAATTCCGAGGAGCAAAAAGGGTGGTTATCACTGACAGCAGGATGGCAGGTGTATCCAACATGTGCCCCCCAGGAAGTTACCTTCTGATTCCACGGAACCCTACTTTTCCAAAGAATGGATCATACTCACTATTCTTTGTTTTGTTCTCAAGACACACTATTATAATGGTTAGTTTTTAATACACATTAAATGAAAGCACAATTACAAAATGTTACTTTTATGTTGGCCATCATATATAGGAATAGGAAAGGTCTTTGCACTTGAGTCACATTTTTTACATTATTATGTCTTTCGTTAGGTCTTTTCTATTTTCCCTCCCTCGTCTCCTCTCTATTCAGGAATTGGACTTTTCTATTCTCTTTTTGAGGGAGACCAGAAAACAAAAAAAACAGATTCACTTTCTGGTTTGTGTCTCCAGAGCAGCCCGAATGGAGAGGCAGAGAGAAACATTTGAGAACAACTATATTGTCAACACGTGCAGCATACACAGAGGCACAAGAAATAGTTTGTTTAAACAAAGAAATGAACAATCCATGGGTAGGAAAAGCCTTTGAGAAGCTAGAAAACAGCAATTGTGGGTGAGCACTGTTTGGGGTGCCGTGAAGACCATAGTGTGTGAGCTCTGAGAGTGGGGCCCTTTGTCTCTTTTCCATGGCAGACATGCACGGAGGCAGCAAGTCACAGGAGGAAATGGTTACATGGTGGGTTTAGGCCAACAGGGACATAGGAACCTAGGCAAGACCTTGATGGTTTGAGTTCTTGCTCCGGGGTGGTATCCTTCCTATGCCCTTGAGCATGGCACAGAAGCAGTGCCAGGAAATCCCTTGTTAAGAATCTAGGCAAGTAAGAAAGAGAGACCACCCTCAAAAGCAACATTCATGGAGAGAGAACTGGGGACCATATAAGGTGATAGGGTCCTAGATATTAGACAGTATTAAGTCCTAGATGAATAGACAGTATCAAGAGTAGAGGACATGGCCCCATATGCATTGGCACCAACAACTCAGATACAATCCAAAATAAGGGACACAGTACTTTGAAGGAGATAAATAGATATTACTCTGTATCTCATAATATATAGATTGATATGTCTTCTTGAGAAACTGACCCTTTCACCATAATGAAATAACATCTTTATTCCTTGTAATAGTCTTTGCCCTGAAATCTACTTTGTCTTTAGATAAGTAAATTCCAGCTTTCTTTTGCTAATTATTAGCATGTATATTACTCTCCACAATTTTACTATGATCCTCTTTGCATATTTACATATTTAATGACTTCCTTATAGGCCACATATTTTTAAATCCAGTATTACAACTTCTGCATTTAATTGAGATACTTATTTAGCCTATTTATGTTTAATATAATTTTATATGGATGGGTTTATATCTACCACCTTGTGATTTTTTTCTCAACTTACATGTTATTTTCTCCCTTTTCCTTCTTTTTTAATTTTTTTGAATTAACTTTGTTTAGATCTGGATACTCATTTGTCATCAATCTCCTGCCTGCAGCACTCTAACATTTCTTTTAGTCCAAATCTGATGAATTCTTTCAGTGGCTGTATATTTATAGTGTCTTTAGCTTGCATTTGATTTTAAGAGACATTTTTACTGGATATAGAATCTAGGTTGACAGTTATTTTCCTTTCAATCTTTAAAGATTTTCATTCAGTAACTTTTCATTTTAGATGAGAAATCTACTGTCAATCTCTGCTCCTCAGCATGAGATGCATTTTCCTCCCCCCTCAACTGCAATGAAGATTTTCTCATTATCAGTGTTTTTGAGCAATCTGATAATGATGTGCCTTTGTGTGGTTTTGTGTATATTTCCTATGCTTGCGGTTCATTGAGCTTCCTGAATCTTCAGGATTATAGTTTTCATTGAATTTTAAAAAATGGCACCTGTTATTTCTTCAAGTATTTTGCTCCTCCACCAAATGTGGGAACTCCATTTCTAACTTTATTAGGCCAGTTCAACTTATTCTCAGTTCACGGATGTTCTGTATATTTCACTTATGGTATCTGGATGTTTTATCCCTTCTCTCTTAATTTATTTAAAAGAAGGTTGTTTACAGCAAAACAATGAGAAGTTTATGATGGGGTTCATATAAAATATTAAAGTAAAATATGTTACAATAATAGCACAAAATCTGGTAGTGGAATGAATGAATGTACACTGCGGTAAAGTTCTTGAATTTTACATGTAATGTTACGATAATATTAGACAGTAGTGAATTTCTAAAAAGGATTCTACCACTGTGTCTTCAAGTATATTAATCATGGTTTTCCGGCAACATCTAATCCAGTGTATTTTTCACCTCAGGCATTATAGTGTATATATCTGATGTTAATGTCAAAATTTTATTCTATTTAACTTAGTAAACATTTGGAATATAGTTATAATTTCTGTCTTTGTCAGATACTTCTAATTCAATCAGTGTCCTTTCAATTGATTGATTCTCTTTTTGTAAGTAGTTATGTTTTCCTTCTTTTTTAGTCCCAAGTAATATTTGATTGGATACCAGTTTAATTTTTACCTTCTGGACCACCAAATATTTTTGTATTCCTAGAAATACTTTTTTTTTTTTTTTAAATAGAGGCATGTTTTATTTATTTATTTGTTTGTTTGTTTTTGTTTATACATGCACTGGGTACAGTCAGAAGCGCGGGAGGGTGAGAGAATTCACCAGAGCCAGAGCGGGGAGCAGAGCAGGCAGAAGGACCGAAGTACACTGCTGAGGGGAGCAGCGGGCGGCAGGAGAGGTCTGCGCGCCATGTGGGACCCTCCTCTGGTGGCCGGGGAGCAGCTGGGGATCGAACCGGCGCCTCCGAGGCCGCGGGCAGCTTCGCAACCCAGCGCTCAACCGCTGCGCCACAGGGGAGGCCCTTCCTAGAAATACTTTTAAGTTTTGTTCTGAAACATAATTAAGTCATTTGGAAACAAATTCTTCCTTTTTAGTCATAAAGATTTATTAGGCAGAGCTAGAGTAGAACTTATGCTCAAGCTAACAACCTTTCACAGCCAAGGAAAGATTTTTCTGTGTATTCCCCCAATGCCCTGTGATTCATGGGCTTCTCTGGTTTGGCTGGTGGAATCAGGTAGTATTTTCAAGTCTGTGTGAGATGAGGCGCTGCAACTCCTAATCATCTCAAGTTAGTTCTTGCCTGACCTTGAGTAGTTTCTTTATACACAGGTTCTGGTCTGCACTCATTTGAATATTTGAGGACAGCCCTGATTGACACTACAGTTCTTTCTCTGTGCAGCTCCCTCATATCCCAAGGTCTTGCCTATATAATCTAGTCCTCCTGGTCCCATTGTTCTGTCAGCTCTGCCTCCTCAACTCAGAGATTCTGCTAGGCTCTGCTTGGGTCCCCTTGCTGCATTGCAACCTAAAAACTCTCTAGAGTATAATTTGGAGAGAATTGTCTAGTTATCTTTTTAAATTTATTTTAAACTATCTTTAATTGCTTGTTGTCCTACATTGGAAAACCATTACTTCACATATTTTGTCTTTTAGTTGTTTTAGGCAGGAAGGTAAATCTGGTCCCTGTTATTCCACCTTGCTATCTCCTGTTATTATTTCTGAAATTGCCTCTTTTGCCAGAAGCACCTACCTACTGATTTACTAAGAGGCAACAGAAAGTTCTTATCCTTAGCACGTCTCTAAAATAATTTCTTGGATATTCTAATTTGCCATTGGGTCTCCACGGTTATCCAAGTTAAAGGCAGTGCTATGAAAATCTAAGCATTTTCTCTAACTGACAGAGTAAAATACAAAGTTTCAGGTGAGTTTCCAAGTAACATGTTTGCAGGTGTTTGGAGTAAAACATCATTGATTCAAAATCCTCTAATTGTTAAGAGAAATCACACAAATAATAGTAGATTAACTTTACACAGTTGATTCTGTCTCATTAAAAAAACCCCTATAATTATAGAGTAAAAGGATGTCAATGGGAAAGGTCTAGATTATTTTAAAAACATTCCTTTAAACATAAACAGATTATGCACAAAAACTTTAATCATTTAAAATAAGCATAGTCTATTTATTTAAATAAGTTACTTAAGGTCTCTGAAATAGTTATATAAATGAGTTTTTGAAATCTACTTGAGTTATTCTGTCTCATTGCTAGTTTTCCACAAATTCTATTAGTTACCACATCAAACACAGATTAGAACTTCTACATGGCAGATGGTCCCTTTCTCTTTCATACCTGAATGTGACATTATTTTTCCTGTTAAATATATTCTTCAATTCAGACTGCTTTGCTCTTTTTAAAGTCTAAATTATATAATGATAAGTTGGCAGTGTTTGTAAATAAGTGAAATCTTTTTAGGTACAAGTGCCAATATTCTTTCCTTTAGGAAGCATAAGTTCTCAGAAAACTGGATCCTTCCTGAGCCCAATATGGCAGCCTGATTTGCATTTTAGTCTTCCATCAGAAAGGAGGCTGTGAACTGATAAAAGTTACCCTCGAATAACGATCTGCCTGTCTTTAAAAGAGTCGAGAGATGGTTTCTTTCACACACGTGTATCGGCTTGCTTTAATTTAATTTAAAACTCTTAGAAGAAAATTTCATAAATTCTGACAACCTCTCTACAGTGATCGACATGTTGCATTTCTCTGCCTTTCAGGAATCCATGAGGCTATATCCTATTTCCTGTGGGGAGTCAGGAGGAGAGAAAATCAGAGACTGGGAGGATGATGACAACTAATACTAGAGAAGGAATTTTTTGGCCACTGGCATAGAAATGTGGAGGGAGATGATTCCAAACCTCAGAGAATCACCCATGGACCCACAGAAATCAGATGAAGCTGGAGGTGAGATGGTGTTGATGACCACAGCCAAGTCAACATTCAGGAGCTGATCGCTTGTTTTTCCATCATGTCCAGTCGTGCGATTGACTCGATGCCAAACCACACACGAGTGTTCAACTTCATGAATGTTTTCAAAGTATTAGTAAAAGGACTAGCTAGGAATTAGCTTCATCCAGAAAGAGGCAACAAAGAAAGTGGCTGCAGGACACAAAAGAAGAGTCCAAGAAATTATGGTCTTCTGTGGATTCTACTTTCATGTAGAAAATGAAAAATGGTTTCATTCACAGACTCTGAATCTACTGGACATGACTAGGAATTCTCCTCAAGCCAGTTCTTTGTGTGGAATTTTAACTGCCCTCTTGCTCACAGGAATATCATTTTAAAAATCCTGGGAAAAACAGTCCCCAAATGCAGAACTTTGCCTCTGAAAGCACATCAGCCTGGAAGTCAGCCTGAAAAAAGGACCCTAAAACATTTGCTTTTCCATTGTTCTGAAAGATTGTAAAAGTTTTGTAAATGTAATTTTTATCACCTTCTTTCCTTTTTTCCATTTATGAACATATGTGTGTTTTATGATATTCACAACATGCTTGTGTCACAAGATTCAAATTTAATTTCCTGCAATTACTGCACAATATGCATGGCAAAAATGATATAAAAATGACAGAAAATAATGAACAGTTACACCATTTCTACCAAGTTACCTTTTGGAAATAAAACTCAAGCATAACCCAGCCAAGGCTTCCGATCGGCTGTTCCCACTCCATGTTGTTTAGAGGCATTGGTAATAATCGTTAGAAGTTTTCAAATCTTTTGATGGTAGCAGGATTTAGTTTATGGGGAAATTATCATCCAGCACACCCAGAGATTTAAGAGAGGTTGCGATTTCCTTCTAACTACTCAGGAAATGTGGAGTTAGGGTGGTGAGCTGGTGGTTTGTCAACAATGTTTTATACCTTCTAAGTTGGAGTCAAATGTACTTGAGCTAATTACTCATGTCATGATGTGTCTCATTTCTTACAGGTGGCAATAATGAATGTGTCAACAAAACTTACTTATGTCAGAGATGGAAGAGGAATCCTTCTTCCTACTATTTCTGTGGGAAAATTACTCCCCAATGATTAAGAGCTGTGGTCTGCTGAGACAAGCAGACCTGGTTCAAAATCCTTCTCCACTACTTGGTAATGGTGATATTGGGACAACATTTTTAACCACTCAAAGCATTGATGTCCCCATCACAAAAAAAAATAGACATTTCTGCTTCATAATCTTGTTGGAGATTAAATGAGGTAAAGTATATGACATACCTGGTACAACGTAAACATTTCATCTAAGTTAGATACTGTTCTAAAGATAATGAAGGCACTTTCAATAATGAAGATGAGTGTTCAGGACCTTTGTCCATGCAGAAAGTAAGCGCTCTATTGCACAGCCCACTGAGGTAGATGTCAGTGTACAGTAATTTCTGTTGCATGAGTGACACCTCCCACCTGTGTTTATTTGCTTAGTTCCAATTCAGACATCCAAAAAAGGGACAAAATATGTTTTGTCTTACTAGGTGTAATTTTCATGAAATGTCATCCCTGAATTGGCTTAACTTCTCCCAAATGTTCATGAGTGGGAGGAAATGCTCAAGTAAATCGGAAAAGAAAGGAAGGTGGAGGGGGAGGAAAAGGAACAAGGAGGGAGAGAAAGGAGAGAGAACAAAAACTACAAAAGATGACTGTCTTTAAAGATAAATTACTTGGAAAAAATTTGAAAGAGAATAGAAAAAGAGGATTAATTGGCAGCACCTCCTGTTAAGTAAGGTGCAGTGACGTCTGTCATGTTGGCATTTGATGGGCTGTGGATCTGCAACGACGAGCCATGCCTCAGTGCTTTTACTCCAGTGAAGCAGAGGAAAGACATTTCCCAGAGGAGAATGGGGCTTCCTTTTCCAACTATTTGCTCTGCTTACCAAACTTACTGGCAATAAAATAGCCACTTATTGAGAAATAAAATGACATAATGGAGGATATCAAGGATTATTTAAGACTCCTTCATGTTGCCTTCATTCCCTGGTTGCCCGTATTTCGCTTTATATTTCGCCTATTTCTCTACTTGTATCTAGTCTTTCAGTCCTGAGGTTGGAGTTGGCAAGAAAGCAGGAGTCTAGGATGAGTAAAGAAGTGTCTGCTTCCTGGAAGTGTCAGCTCAAAGAGAGCAAAGGTAGAGGACAGCGAGCACTAAAAGGAGACAGGGTTTCTTCATGGGACTGAATGATACCGGCAAATTCTTGGACCAAGTCTGTATGTTGCCTGCTGAGAGTCCCATGTTAACAGTGAGTGTCATCCAGGTTTCACTTATAGCAGGACTATAGGGGAACCCAATAAGACATCAGTGTAAAAAATAATAACAGTACAAAACACAACAAAGTAAAAATGGACAATTATAAACCAGAGCCATCCTGCAGGGGAGGAGGAGGGAGAGGGATCAGCGGGAGGGAGGGAGGAGCACATGGGACTGAGGTGATGGTGCATGGGTGCCTTGGGGAAGGAAACTCTATGGGGACTACACCTGAGGGGGTGGGGGAAGCAAATATTCTTTAAAAATGAACAATGGGGGCCTCCCCGGTGGCGCAGCGGTTGAGCGCTGGGCTGCGAAGCTGCCCACAGCCTCTGCAGTGCTGATTCGATTCCCGGCTGCTCCCCGGCCACCGGAGGAGGGTCCCACATGGCGCGCAGACCTCTCCTGCCGCCCGCTGCTCCCCTCAGCAGTGTACTTCGGTCCTTCTGCCTGCTCTGCTCCCCACTCTGGCTCTGGTGAATTCTCTCACCCTCCCGCACTTCTGACTATACCCAGTGCTTGTATAAATAAATAAATATATCTTTAAAAAATAAAAATAAAAAATAATAAAATAAAAATGAACGATGATGTAATAAATAAATAAATAAATAAATAAATAAATAAACAAATAGAGATTAGGGACACCATCACCCTTAAGCATTAGAAACAAAATAAAACAAAAAAATAGTGAGTGTCATCCACACTCAAGGGGAGTGAGTACCAGTCAGGAGCCATTACTGGGATCTACCATGGGCCCAGATTTGAAACTCAGGGGCCCATATTGAATTGATAAGGCAGGCGAGGGTGCAAGGGCTGTGAATATAAAGGAAGTAAAGAAAGTAGGGCAATAGAATGCTCTTTTTCATGCTTGAAGGTGACCCATGTGCATGAGATAATATTATGTCCCCATTCTGCAGTAGATCCCATTGAGCAACTAGAAGAAAACTATTAAGCAACTACAGATTGACTATTTACCCCGCCCCCACATCTAGCTCTGAAAACAATCACCTTCTTTTAATGAATTGAACTAAAAATCATTTGATGTGAAATTTTTTTAAAAGCCATCTGCCATGGACGCCCAGATCGCCTTGCTTCATCAGAACGTTGTATCCTGTTCATTACTCAGATAGTTTTCATGTTTTTAATTTCATGATCTTTACACTGGTTATTGAAACATTTTTATTAAAAATCAGCCATAATAATTTTTCACTTTGTTTGTGATTGAACATGTGTATGTCTTGCCTAGCACAGAGTTCATTTTAAAATGTGAGCAATAAGCCAGTGGCATGGAAACAGCAGGTTTCTACCAAAAAACCATCTTGAAATCACATTTTGCACAGAACAATTTCACAGAAACAGAAGTCTCTCATCACCAGAATTTCCATTTCAGTTAACAACACTGAAACAATCCACTGGTATCTGCTTTTGTCCAAGGTCTTTCCATGGGCTAGTGCCCCCAAGCTGATTCTCCTCAATGAATTAAAGGTCCATGTATGGGAAACATGTACAGCTCTGTTGTAATGTGCATGTAAACATTCACAGAGCTGATTTATTATGACCCCCGTTTTCTTTTGAATTAATACCAAATGTAAAAAAAATGTTTTAAAATTGAATGTTTCATAACAGTCGCTCATTGAAAACAGTACTGGCAGATGTGGACTGAGTATTTCACTGGTTCAAAATGGTCAAAAGTGTAAGTCAGTGGTCTCATAGTAGGAGGGAAGGTTTAAGATTTAAACAACTCTTTCTTGAGAGTGTATCATACTCTGTGCTCTTTGGAACATGTTTCTTATACTTGTTTGCAGTGCTGGTTCCGTAGACATAAGGAAACAATGACAAACGAAAATAGAATTGTCCACAAGAGGACAGAGGTAAGAAAGAGGGGAGTTCGGAAGCCATGTTTTATGAGTCAATGGAAGCTGACATGATATTTTTAGGAGTCTAAGTTGTGTTCCTGTAATTATCAGAATAGCTCACGCAAGAGGGACAACGTACTCTGTGTTGTTTCGGAGAGGAAAACAAAGAATGGTGTGCAGAAAAGCAAATCTTACTAAAATATGAAATAGATCATTGTAAGTATCACAGACCTATTTTCCTCACTATGAGACCTGTTTCAGCAAAGGCTGGGCTCTGCCTATGACCTGCTTTATAAAGGGACTCCCCTGCCCCCTGCCAGGGGGGCGTGAGGGTGGGAGTATGTGGGTGAGGGTGGGAGTATGCCATCAAAGGAGTCTCAAATTTCATTCTATCACTCTTTGATCTGTCAGTTTGCTTCCATTTAGTTTTCAGAATAAATAAATATATAGTTTATCTCATAACAATCAATGAATGGACCCATTTGGAAATTGTGTCAATCAAAAATTTTGTGTAGCTAGAATTATATTATAAATGCACTTAAGTAAATTATTTAGAGGCAACAGAATGCAAATCTTTTGTTAAGAATCCTTTTGCAGCACAAATAATTGCTTCCAAAATGAAACATTTGTATTTCCTTGAATTGGTTTTTCTTACACAGAGAACATCTGTACATCCCAGCAGTGCAGGATGCCCCACAACTCATTAAATAGATGAAATTCTGCTACTTTTGGTGTTGTGGATAAAACACTGAGGCCCCACCCTACTCCTCCTCTCATTGAATAAACACTTCATTAGAATGTTTCACACTGGAAATATTAACACCAAATTAATGAAATTCAGTGCCATCAGGGAGCTACAACATTAGCTTCTTGTGCCCTGTTTATTAGAGTTTCTTCCCAAGTCTTGTATTAACTAGCTATGGGATCTGCTTCACCTATTTGAACTTCAATTTTGTCCACTGTAGGATGGTAGGAACAGCACTATATGCCCTTAGCCAAGAAAGCTGTATCCGAATAAATCACCAATGGAAAATTTGAAACTTCAAGGTGCCTTTCAGGAGGAACAGCCTCAGATCCTCTTGAGTTGGCTAACTCGGGAATATTTGAAAAGGAGGGAATCTCAAAAGAATGTTTAATCCAATGTCAGATTAAGCCAGAGATGCTGAAGTATCAACTACCCACAAAGCACTAACTAGAGGTAACTGAAAAGATTAGGTATTAGAGAAAGATCCCATCTTAAGCAACAAATGGCAATGATTTCTCTAAAGTTATGACCAAGAGTCGATATTTAATAAGAAACAGGCAGGAATTCATATTTAGTAGAGTTTGTATAAAATTAGAGGAAATTACATAAAGCCATTTCATAATTTATGAAATCTTGCAATCTATGCTTGCAAGGGGGATAAATCCAGGAGTTTGCTTGGGGCAGACTCACAATTTCTCTGTTATTGGTGCCATTTTTCAAAAAAAAAATCTCTCTGCTAAAGGGTTTGTGTGGTCTTGAAGCTTCTGTCGTGGAGAAGATGCTAGAGAGTGGGGGTAACACAGATGAGCCCACTGTTCAGTTGGTCTCAGGAATGTCGATAATCACCACTCCCCAGGCTGTACAATTATGTTCTCCAACTCATCATTTTTAACAACCCAACTACTGGCTCTCTCCTCTACTACTGCTATTTTCCTTTCTTTCTTTCTCAAAATGAAAAAAATAGAACAAGTCTGGTCAGAAGTAAAAAGTGGTCAGGACATCTGCTGTGTGACCTCCTCTGGGCTTCCGTTCTGCGCTTGTACATAAGGAGTTTGGAGGAGACCTCGGTTGGCAAATCGTATTTCTAGGTAAATCTGGCCTGCTGTATGCTTCTGTATGATTGGGTGTCTTTTATGTTTTTAAGTGACAGACAAAAGATCAAAAGAAGAAAAATTTCTTGTGAAAAGTTTAAAAAATTCAAATTTCAGTGCCTAAAGTTTTATTGTATCATAGTCACACCCGTTCATTGATGTATTTGTATTACGCATTATGTGTTATGTAATGGCAGTGTTGTGTAATTATAAGAGAGATCATAGAGCCTGGGGAAACCAGAAATATTTATTATTGGCCCTTTATAGAAAAAGTTGGCTGACCTCACACGATTACTTGTGTACTCTTGTCAACTCAAATCATTCATCATTTCTTCCCACTGACATTACTTTAACTCCTCCCTCCATCTCTCCCGCCCACCCCCACTCTCGCCATACTTTTATTATGGAAACAGAATTTAAAATAAGTGAAGTTAGATGGCAGAGCCAGGGGTAGAATGCAAGCCTCCTCTCTGCACCCTCCACAGCTTTCTGTTTCTCTCCTTTCTGTCTGAGTCTCCCTTCCTCCCCTTTGACCTGCCTTGCTTGGATTCACCAAGACCATTTCTTACAGGCTTCCTCCACTGTCCTGCAATGATGACATACCTTTAGAGTCACACAGGCATCTCAAAAAAGAGAGGAAATATTCTTTTATTTTACAAATATAATAAGGAAAAATTGCAATGGAATGATGGCAGAATTAAAATCCTCATTTTATGATTCCTCGTCTCCTAGTAGGTGGTTGCTTCCACATTCAAATGATTTTTATTAACTTTATGGAACAATCACTATTAAATGGAGCTAACATCTTGAATATGGAACGCAGGGAGCCTGATGTTATTGTAGCCACAGTCAGACAACCCTCCTCTCTTCCCTCACTCTACTCTTTCCTCCCTCTGCTGTTGCTTTCTCTATGGGCAATTGCCTACAAGGTGTTCTCATGTGGGATATATAATCAAAAACAAACCATTGCCTGGAATCTTTTATTTTCTATTGCATGAAAAAGGTATATAAAGTTCTCTCCTTTACAGGCTTTTCCCCAAGAAAATAAGATTTCATAAACTAACAAATGAAGGTCATAGGTAAATCCCTCTAAATATCAACTCCTACTGAAGCTGTTAAGTGTTTGCTCTTAATCACAACTTTGGAGATCATCCCTGTCATTCTAGGGAATGGATCCTCTCCTACAGTATCTTCTTAAGAGAACAACCAAATTTTCTTTTGCTGATGATGTATCAGGGCCATCAATTAAAAGTGAATGAAACTAAAATATGGCCCTTTCTTGGTGATGAAAACAATGAAGAGAATAATGTAATCTCCTAAACTTGGTAATAAGAATTTAGTAAGTCATTGATAAATTCAGCAAATGATTGCTTATGCCTCCTGTGTTCAGAATACTATGCCACATTCTCTGGAGAGTAGAAAGTAGTAAACAATGTGGTTCCTACCCTCCAGGAGGGCAGGAGAATAGGACAAGGAGAAAACCACAAAATAACCAGAAGGGACCCAGCAAATAAATGTCTATGGGAGGTTAAAGGTCTTTGTCTTTTTTTCTGGGTTGAGCATGGACAGTTTCTTTGGGAAGGGGGAAGTAGTATATGACCTGCGCCTTCAAGGCTTGGGTGGGAGGATTTCACAGGCAAAAATAAGAGAGACATTTTTACCCTGGCTAGAGATACCAGGCCTGAACAGGGGCCAACTTGAAAATGTGTTCCTGAACATTCATCTAGCAGAGAGTTTTGTTGGGTTTTACTAAAATAAGAAAGAGAAAAAGGATAAAGTATAGTTTTGAAGTCAGAATTTTTCTCCACTGCTATTTCTCACTTCATAGCTTTCAATTCAAGTACCCTTTGAAGACATTGCTCTGAAGCTTTTACAAACTAATCTGAGGACATTTGTACCTAATTTATCCAGAGATGATAGGTCCTTGGACTGCACACATGGTCTGCATATTCCCAATTGCTAATGTCACTCTGATGATTTTTTTTATTGGTTTTATGATGGTGATAAAAAAAATTGTGTTGCATTTGGGAAGATTTTTTAGACATTACACCTATACAGAGGATATCAGGTTTCAAGCCCCTAAATAGAAAAGGATTTGTGCAAATTTGTGGCATAAAATGGGAGTAAGAATAGAGCTTTTGTCTGTCATCATGGACTGCTAGGGCAGGAGGATTCGGGGAAAAGACTTTGAAAATCAGAGTTCTTGTTAGTGCCTCTTAATGGACTAACAATTTAGATGTAATTGATCACAGCTTTAATTGTCCATAATCTCTATATATACTAGGGTAGCCTTCTGGGATATTACTAATCAAATTACAACTAATTCAAAGCAATCTCCAATTATAGAATGTTTTGTCTCTCTTTCAGGCTTGGGGAGTCAGGGGCGATGTTGTGTTGATGACAAGGCTGAACCACACGCCTGCAAAGTTTTAAAGGGTTTTGAAGATTCATTCTCAAGATGTGACGGTGCTTTGTGGTCTTATGCAATAGAGTCTTTAAAATATTTAAAAATAACTTCTTTAAAATTATTTAAAGTTACTACCCTGGAGAAATAACTTCTCAGCTTGGGTACCAGTCTCTTACCAAAAGTCTTTTGCTCCTTAATGAAGATATTTTTCTGCAAGAGACCATCCCTAGACATCCTGGCATAATTTCTGGCCACAGTAATACCCAGGTGTGATAACACCATCTATTATTTATCTATTGAAAGTTAGGATATTACAACTTCTACCAGACAGTAAGTAAATATTAGCTTTTATTGATGATACTATTAATGCCAACTTTGATTAATGATCATTTAATCTTGAAGAACTATCTACAGAATTTTGGCAAGTGCCTTATAAAAGTGGTACAGCAAGGATCCCCACTAATCATTACTCTAGCTACTCAACTTAAATTCATTTTCACACAATCATTAAAATTGTTCTATCTGAGGCATGTTGCCCTTGACCTTCTGAACATGCTTGGTTACGAAAGACATTACTCAATTCTCCAACAAGAAATCCAGTTGTTATTTTTCTGTTAAGTAACAAAATCAGAAGGTTCTTTTTTCTTTCTTTCCCGTTTTATGCTGCTTTATTGTTGGCTTGGAAGCAAGAATGAGAGCTTTAGAGGGAACTGATGCATCAATATCAGTCAGGATGGCTATGGGTGTGAGCAGATTTTTCAGGAAATTCTGGTAAGAAAAGTAGGAAGAACGTTGAATAAATGGAGTATTGATTTCAAGGACAAGATGCTTTTGGTAAATCCTGTTAAGACAGGAGACCTAGCTTTAACAGAAATTGTCTGGGTTCATAGCAGAAATGACATGAATTATACAGGTAGAGATAAAGTCA